CATGGTTGGCGAACCAATGCTGCAAATGGTGAACATGCGACTACGTCATTTATTTGGTGATGTCGAATTCGGAGGAAAAAGTGTAATTGCTGTCGGCGATTTCTATCAACTGCCGCCCGTAATAACAGCACCAGTATACGTGAACAGATCGCATAATCCGTAAGTTGAGGCGTTTGGAAGACCGCTATGGCATCTCTTTGAGGTTTACAAGTTAAGGGTGGTGATGCGGCAAAGCGAAACTCAGTTCAAGGAAACACTTAATCATTTAGCGGATGGAGAGCTCACAGCAGCAGATGAAGTACTCTTTCGGTCTCGAACATTTGCAGAGCTTTCTCAGACAGCAACTGCACAGAAACCAATTTTTCTTTTCGCCAAAAACAGTGAAGTGGATAAATGGAATGATGAAGTACTGAGGGAAGTGCCTGGATTTCGAACAACTTGCGAAGCATCAGATAGAGCAGCTGGAGTTGGGCCGGAGAGCACCAAAACCATTATGTTACCAAGTGTTCGTAGCGCACGCACAACTACTCACCAAACAATAGGTATGCCAAGAACGTTATGTTTGAAAGTTGGTGCGCGATACATGATGACATACAACTTGGACACCAGTGACGGCCTAGCAAACGGTGCTACTGGAAGACTAGTCCAAGTGGAGATGGGGCAGCGTTGATAGGGAGAAACTAATGAGACTAAACTTTTACGTGTCTGGATGCTATTCGACGAGCAGGAGGTGGGTACGAAGATGCGCAGGAGGTTCAGCAGCATGAGCATTCGCAAGCATTGCCCGACGAACCGGACACCGCTGGAGCCAATAATAGTACCGATCAAACGTAACAAGGGGTCAAATTTGCAAGTGCTACGCAAACAATTCCCACTGGTACCTGAGAAGCAGTGACAATCCACAAGAGTCAGGGTCAGACATATCCGTCTGTGGTTCTCCACACTGCACAGCGCATGAATCGCGCTCTGCTCTGCGTTGCGCCATCCAGAGTCACGTCACTTTCTGAACTGTATATAATCGGCGAATTTAAGACACCGCGACAATCGCAACCCAACGATCCGTTGCAAATCGAGCTAAGGCGACAGGAGCAACACTTATTGCAGCCCGCATTCCAATTTCTTCGAACAGAGCACAGCGCTGTCCAGGTTTTATATCATAATGTGCAAAGCTTTGCAAAACACCGCGACCAAATCGAGAACGACGCCGTTTACACAGCGAGCGACGTAATACTCCTCGGAGAGACTTGGTCATTGGCAACAGACGACATTCATATCAACGGCCAACGGACGGCTGTACGTGCCGACTGCATAGAACCGGCAAGAATAGCCCACGGAGCCTGCTGCCTGGTGTCGCAGCAAATGATGAATAACGTTCGCGACACAGCATCCATCAGAATTGGAGAGGAGGATTGTTTGGACGCAACTTTTATAATACTCCACAATGTGCTCAATGCCGGAATGTACGCAAGTCCTTGTGTTGCGATTGCTAGCATTCGGTCCTTCCTCGCAAGATGTTCCGAGAAGAGGGGCGAAAACTTATACTGGGGGATTTCAATCACAATATTGCTGAAACAGGAAACCCCCGTTTCAGGGAAATGATATAGACTAAAAATCTGGAATGTGAATGTACCCACGATTAATGCGAATTCAACGCTTGATCTCATTATAAGCAATTTCGACATATGTCACGGCATGTACATCTCCCTAACAAGTTTTCATGAGCTTATCTAGGCCACATATAATTCATAAATCGATTGATTAACAATTCTATTTCAACCCAATGGCAGCAAAACTGCAATCGCTACTGATAGCCAAGATCGGATATTCAGGAGGCACAATTCCATCCCACGATGCGTAGCGGAGAAACACGGAGATTCACTGGGAAATGAGCACATCGAATGCAGCCATCATTGTGATAATTTGAATTTGCAAAAAT